CACACACACACACACTTACACACACACCTACACCTCAAACGACAACATACACACAATAAACGCAAACTAAAATAAAAATACTCAGGGATAGGTGGACGAGCACAAACGTATAAATATAGATAGTATCGTTGTGTCGCAATGTTATGAGATGTTGCCTTAAATTAGTCAATCTGAAGCGACCTTGTCTTGGTTAATCCAGAAGCGATTGTGTCTGTGGACTTTATAGAGGATGCCCGTTTAGTCAAATGATCCCGACACGTTTGATCAGATCGGATCGGGTCAGCTACAATAATGTCGCAGATGCGCTTTTGCAACTTGCATCAAATTGAATTAAAAAAAAAAAATTTGGGTTTCTTTTCTTCATCAAATTTTACCGGAAAGTCATTTTGGGCCTGTCGCTTTACGCGAAGAAACAAAACAGCTGACTCCACAATAATATGAGGGAGCGTTCTGATTTGTTCGTTTCTTCAAACGCATCAAAATAATGGTGTCCCAGAAAACAAAACATGGTTGGATTTGGGGGATTTTCTCAAATAGTGGTTGGTAGGTAGCTTTTGCCCATCTGTAAAAAAAATATGACTGTCCTCAAATGTATGAAGTGTGCTAATCAAAGTATCAACTGTATGAATTGTATTAATTAATGTATCAAATGAATCAAATGAAGATTTGTCGAACCTTTTCTGCAAAGTGTACTGGGTATAAAGTAAAAGAGATTCGATTGATTATCCATAAAATATTTCTTACTGGAAACAGCGTCCAACGAATTATCATGTATCAAATTATCAGATCGAGGGAGATTGGACGAACTTTTTATACAAAGTGCACTGGGTATAAATCAAAACATATTCTAACGATAGGCGACAATAATTTATTACTAACTCGAAGATGCGTCGACTGAATCACACGTCATCGTGCTGGTGAGAGACAAGCACACGATCACTGATAAAACCATAACATAAATGCTAGGCTGACTGTGTAAATGTTGTGAGCTGATTATCAGGTATCGTCAGATATAACAGCTCTTCTTTCGAAGCAGAAAGATAACTTCTCAACACTCGTTTAATAAGATGAGTCCCGACCTGCCACCCACCATTGTGCGTAGATACCGTTAACCCTACTACTTCAGTTGAGATGCGATAGGTTGATAAATTATTATGAACGCCCAGTCGGTGTTTCGAACGACGATTTTACTCTTAGTTTGAGGAAGTGGCTTTCAAATCTTTAAGTGGCGTTTCGGATCTTTACATGAAAAAGCATAATAAGAGATCGGTCGTCTTGAACTTAATTGTTTATCTCACTTTGTTCACGCAAAATAAGCAGAATTGGAATTGCACTCTTCAGGTGCTTATTATTTTGCTGGTCTATTATAGGTATTTAAAGAAAAGTCAATAGATGTTATAAAAGCCAAGTAAAACATTAGAACAACAAATTATTGAAACACAAAATATAAAGAAATAAGCAAATCATGTATAATATACAGATAAAGACAGTTATTATTATAATATAGTAACTGTTTTAAGCTTTTCTGAGAGCTTCACGCGGTACAAAAAAAGGGTAAAAAGTCTACTTGAACACCCGACCCCTCTCCCACTTCACCCACCTCCCCGCTTTGTAGAAATGGGCTTTCTCATACAACGTAACGACAACTCTTACCAAGTGCTTAGTGTCAAACTCCACCATAGGATATTTTGAATTTGAAAAGTGACTTATGGCAGAGTCTTACACGGAGCAGTGGATATGCGGCTTCGCCCACAAAGGTGCAGTAGATCAAGTCAGTCCAATAATATAGAGGGCCCAAGTAGACTTTTACTCCTACCCCCAACAACCCCATCCCCCTCCTCCCGAAATGTATCTTATGCCTACCAAGCTATAATCGATTTACAGACAGAAAGGGTTAACCTACTTCTGTGTTTACACCCGATTCTTACTGGTTTATATTTGAAGCCTTAAATATCACCTGAGGTCATTTCCTACTTGTTCATGTGCAGCACACGGATATTCCTTCATTAGTCACTCACTGTGTACACCTCATTACACAAAGGAGTATTGTTAATACATTTTTGAAACTGTTGTTCTGGCTTCTTTAGTTAAACAGACTCACCAATCAGAATGGGGGATGTTGCAGATATGGAGCTCCTTGTAAGAGGGTAAGAAACGAAAATTCTTTTTTTTTCTGTTCAAATCTGTCTCATCTGTTCGTTGGCTGATGGGTTGTTTACTTTATGCTGTTAACCTTTTAATTGCTATTCATTTTTTAACCATTAAATTTTTTCTACATTTAATGAGTTTTGTGTGTGTCTGTTTGTGTGTGCGTGTGTGTGTGTGTGTGTGTGTGTGTGTTATTTTCTTTTCAAAACGTTCCTTTGTCTTTGGGAGTGGAGGGAG